GTCCAGAGCTTCTGAGTTCACTCCTACACAAAGGAAAGTTGAATGTACCCACCCTGAATCAGCATCAAGCCACCCTGAAGAAGCAAGTGCTGGAGTCTCTGGTAGAGATTAAAGGAGTTGGCTTTGAGCAGGGGCTACACTCCCCTCACTCAGCACCCTACAGACTGTATGACCAACAAAGTAGGACACCTGGGGCTCAACCCATGTTCAGGGAACACAGAGAGTCCCAATCAAGATGAACCCAAAGAGACCCACACCAAGACATATCATAATTAAAATGGCAAAGTTTAAAGACATAGAATTTTAAAGGCAGCAAGAGATAGTGACTTACAAGGGAGTTCCCATTAGAAGTTCAGCTGATTTCTCAACAGGAACACTGAGGCCAGAAGGCACTGGTACAAAGTATTCAAAGTGAGGAAAGCTAAGATCATGCAACCTAGATTGATTTACCAAAAAATCCTATCATTTAAAATTGAAGGCCAGACAAAGAGCTTCCCCGGTGACAAAAGGTTAAAGGATTTCATTACCACCAAACCAGCAGAAATGTTAAAGGACCTTCTTTTTTAATATGAAGAAATAGAAAAACATAGGTAGAATAAAAAATAGCAATAAGTAAATACCTATCTCTAATAACCTTAAATGTAAATAGATTAAATGCTCCAATCAAAAGACATAGAGTAGCCAAATGGTTAAGAAAGCATGACCGGTATATATGTTGTCTACAAGCGACCTACATCAGAACAAAAAGTTTCCATAAGCTGAGAGTAAAGGGATGGGGAAAAATCTACCATGAATATGGAAAAAAAAAATAAAGCTGGGGTAGCAATACTTATATTGAACAAAATAGACTTCAAAACAAAAGGTGTAAAAGAGACAAAGGTCACTACATAATACTAAAGGGATCAATCTGACAAGAGGACATACTCTTATAAACATATATACACCCAATACAGGAGCACCTAAATATATTTTAAAAATCTTGGTGGACTTCAAGGAAGATATCAACAATAATACTGTCATAATAGGGGGCTTTAACACACCACTGTCATCAGTGGATAGACTGTCCAGACAAAAGATCAGCAAGGATTTAGTGACATTAAATGACACACGAGAAATAAATGGAAGCATAAATCATGCTTGTGGATAGGAAGAATTAACACATTAAAATGTCCATACTACCAAAGTAATTTATAGATGAAATGCAATTCCTAAGACAATACCAATTGTGCTTTTTCCAGTACTAGAGCAAGTAATCCAAAAATTTATATGTAACCACACAACAGATAGCCTCAGCAATCTTAAGGAAAAAGAACAAAGTTGGAGTATCGTGCTACCTGATATCAAACTATACTACAAGTAATCAAAACAGCATGGTACTGGCATGAAAACAGACATACAGATTGAAGGAGCCAAATAGAGAGCACAGAAGTAAATCCATGCCTATATAGGCAAAGGAGACGAGAACATACAGTGGGGTAAAGGCAGTATATTCATTACGTGGGGTTGGGGAAATTTGACAGATATATGCCAAAAAAATTGAACTAGACCACCTTCTTACACCATATACAAAAATAAACTTTATTTGCATCAGCAAAGTAAAAAGGGAACCAACCATATGGGAAAATATATTTACAAATGATACCTTGTACAAAAGGGTTTGATCTCCAAAATGTATAAAGAACTCACACAACTCTACTCCAGGAAAACAAACAATCCAATTAAAGAAAAATGGGCAAAGTAACTGAATAGACACTTCTGCAAGAAGGATGTGCAGAAGGCCCAGAAACATATGCTCAGCAACACTAGCCATTGGAGAGATGCAAATTAAAACCACAATGAGATACCACTTCACACCAGTCAGAATGGCCATCATATACAAATCAACAAACAATAAATTCTGGCAGGTGATGCAGACCCCGGCTCGTGGGGTCTGTGACATTGTGGATGGGGGAAAGACATTCACACGGACTACTGAGTCCTGTGGAGGAAAATAGCGGGCAGCTTTGCTCTCAAGAGGAGCCAAAAGCTGTGGCCTCTGCCATCACAGGCCTTTATTTCTACCTCTGGGCACATTACCTGATGGTCCTCATTTACTATATCCTGGTTGGCTTTAGGTGGTTACCTTTTTGCAGAAAACAAAGGAGCCAATGTTGCTAATCATATCACAGAAGAGGGATATTTGCAAATGAAAAGGCAAAAGTGGTTGAACCCATTACACTCATCCTTGGAAGGTTTAGCATGGATTTTAGGAAGTTACTTTGCAGTAAATGTCCTCAATTCAGGGTAAGGGAGTTTTTTAGCAAAACCAAGACTCAGAGCAGCCTAGGTACATTGCAGGCCTGGTTCCTCACGGGAGAACCTATCCGTGGGTGTGGGTTCTGTGCATCTCTGAGTGGGAGCTGGGCCCACGCCACGCAGAACGGCCTCCTACAGCAAGGCTGTGGAGAAAAAAGAACCCTACTGCACTGTCAGCGGGAATGCAGACTGGTGTAGCCACTGTGGAAAATAGTATGGAATTTCCTCAGAAAATTAAAAGTGGAACTGTTACTAAACACAAGGGGCCAAGGGTGGGGAGCCTGGAACGATATACTATTACCGAAAGGAACCCCCAGCTTCGTTATGTCTGCCGCCGTATAGGAAAGACATCTCTCAATGACAGAGATTCGTGAAAAGGAAATGTTTATTTAATGCTATACAGACTTAAAGTAGTGACCTAATGTCTTCATCAAAATCCCAAAGTCCCTTAAAACACCCACAAACACACACAGTCCTTCCTTCCCCTTTTACCCAGTCTGGGGTACCATATCTCAGGAAAAGAAATAGAAATCCGAGGCTCAGGCAGCCCCCAGGTCTTCCCAGCAATCCATCTCAGCTGGTAGGCCTCCCTCAGTTCCCAGCATCATCTGCTGTGTCGCCAGATCTCTGCTAAAGCTAGGTGGTGGTTCCCCCTTCTAAAGCTGCAGCGGTCCCCACTCTGGCAAAGCCATATGGTTCTCCCCCCACTGCCACAGCCGTGTTGCCCTCTCAGCACAGTGGCCTCAGGAGTCTCCACTCAGGCAAAACTGCGTGGCTCTCCAGGACAATGGCTGCCGTGTCGAGGCTTAAATCCCCGTGCCAATCTTTCTCTGCAGGCCCTTTCCCGAATCCTACCACAATTGGTTACACTTGCCAGCACTCTCATATCCTTCCAGCTTTACAGGGCTGCCATTGTGAGTCTGGGCAGGCGTGGCCACATGTCATGGAGCCAATCATTTCCAAGGTCCCACGCAGGCGCTGTAATTCGGGGGACCTGCCCCTAGTTACATCTTGGTGTGGAAGTTACTTCCATTCCCCTGGCTCAGAGCATGGCCACAGCTATTTAACATATCTGTGTAACCAGTTAAAGGTTATAAATATGTTAAATGAACACACCAGAGGTGTGTTGCAACATTTTGCAAAGCTGTTGCCATGCAAAACAGCTTTCAATGGCCCTACTCCATGTGTCCCTTCCCCCAACCCACACTTGTGGGGGTGGGGGATGAGGACATCCTAATATTTCCTGGACACCTTGAGTTCTGGACCCCATTTCAAATCCCTATTTGGGGTACCCCCCTCTTGGCTGCACCCTGTTACAAGTGCTGTAAATATTGTGGGGATCACTTCTTAAAGTATATAATTGTCTAACAGTTACAATGTATACCTGAAACTAATGCCAAATAATACTGAAAGTAAATCATAATTGTAAAATAAAATAAAAATTATACTTGGGGTTCAAACTATATATTTTTACTTTTATGTGTATGCTAACCTCTAAAATTCTGGTTCCAGAGGGCAGTGCATGAGCAACTGAAGAGATCCTTTCAGAGATCAATGCCATTTTCTAGCTTCCCTGATGTGGTTTAGTGGGAGTAGGACTCTTCTTAATTTTTCCCTTTGTCATGATTTTTTGTGTTAGTATAATTCAAAAACATTTTTGATCACTTAATATGGACTAGGCACTATACTAGGCACTCAGGATGAAAGAAAAAGTAAAATGAATTTCAGCTAGCTCTTCCCATGCTTCCTGACACCACAGCAATGCTGGCATAACAAGACTGTTCTTCATCACCGAGGACCTCCAGAATTCTGTGCTACCCATCTCCACTGACGTTCTGAAAAGTAAAGGCTGTGCTCACTACATAGGAAGAAGGAAGAAATTAGTGCAGATATACTTTTCTTAAGACTGGTAGATCTCGGGTTGGAACCCAAACCAAAGAACATGACTTCCTGTCCAAATCAAGTGAACTTGGAACAATAATTCACCAAAATGTTAATCACTTGTTATAACATCAGTGTCAGACAAAAATGCATGAAGAATTTAATATGATATTTTGGTATTAATATAAATACATTTTACAAGTTAAAATCTTCCCTTAGAGATAATGTAATGTAATGAAGTTTAACTATGTTTCCTTGTATTGTTTCTCATTGTAATAATCAGGTTTCTGATCTCAATGAATTCCATGTACTTCGTGTTCTGCTTTTCTTTGTACCTCTGGGGTCCTGCAACAAGAGTATTGAAGGAAGTGCATTGAATACATACATTTCAATAAGAGCAAAAAAATATGTAGGATGGTTTGGAAGGCTCCACTGACTTCTAGGAAATATTGACTTCTAAGAGCTATGAGAGTACAAAGTGTGTCTTGCTTTGCTAACAGTCTCAACCTCATTATAGGGCAATTACTAGCACATAGGTGCTTAATAAATTAATATTAATTTAATAAATCAATGATTATGAATAAGTGAAACGGTTCTTCGCAAGCACGGTCTAGATCCAACTAAGCACCAGCATCTAAGTTTACTGGCTGGTTCCTTCCACAGACCACTTCAGGGAAACCACTCCTTCCAGTGGTGAGAACTGTCTGTCAATCCTCGTGAGGACCAGGTAGGTGCAGTAGGCCTTGCGCCACCTGCCAAGATGGAGAAAGACGGGCTTTAGGACCCGGCGACGCACGGAATAAAGCTTGGAGACCGGAGACCGGAATCCGGCAGACCTTCGCGCACCCCTTGACGTAACCAGCCCGCGCCAGCGGAGTAGGGGCGAAGCACGATTTACCCACTGCTGCCACGCACCATGGCGAGCCCAGTTCAGCAACATCCCCAGTCTGGCGGCGGGAAGCGCAAGGTCAAGGCTCAGTACTTGCAGGCCAAGCGTGTTCGGCGCTGCAATGGCGGCGGTGGGCCCCGGCAGTTGGAACCTGGGCTGAAGGGCATTCTCATCACCTGTAACATGAATGAACGCAAGTGCGTAGAGGAAGCCTATATCCTGCTCAACGAATATGGGGACGACTTATATGGCCCAGAGAAGGTACCGGCCCTGGGGCAGGGAGGCCTACTGTAGGTTTTTGAGGGAGGAGTAAAGGCTGCCCACCTTTAGGCGCGTGCGCGAGTTGACCACAAACGCGAACAGGGTGTGGCCTTGCCCTCCCCCGCCCTCCACAACTCCGCCCTCGCGTTGTCTGGTAGCCACCGCCCCCCCTCCTCCCCTCCTCCCCTCCTCCCCTGCTCCCCTCCCCCTCCTCCCTCCTCCTGCCCCTCCCCCCTCCCCCTCTCCCCCTCCCCCCTCCCCCTCCTCCCCCCTCCTCCCCCCTCCCCCTCCTCCCCTTCCTGCTTAGTCTGAGAAAGCTAAGACTTTGAACTCTTTTTCCAATTGTTAATCGCGGTGTTTTCCATCTATAGGTTGCTTCATGTGGTCCAGGCATTGTGTTTCTGAACCTTTTTCAGAAACATTTACTTATTACTTGTAAAGTAACATTCAGGAGGACGTGAGGGTTGAGTAGATTAAGTGGATGGTCCAGTTTCAAAAGAAGTAAACATCATTGGTCCTCACGGTTTTTGCCATATTGTACCAGTATCTGAACGTCATGGCTGGAATAATGTGTTTGTCCTAAGCAGTATCTCTGAAATAGTAAAAATATATTTTCAAAGTAAAAACTTTTGTACCATGTCAAATTGCATGGCCCCATCGCAGTCTGCAAATCTTTGTATTCTTGGTTTGGGATCTGGACTAACACGTGTATGACACCCCAAGAAGGAGGGTTAGTGCAGAAGGGATTTGAATTTAGGCACTATCATTTACTGGCTTTGGGCTTGGGCACGTTATTTGCTTTTGCTAAGCTACATAAAAAAGAAAATAACGATAGTACTTTTTTCTTTAAGATTTTACTTTTTTATAGAGAGGTTTAAAGAGGGAGAAAGAGAGTGAGGAAAATATCAATGTGTGGTTGCCTGTCATGTCTCCCCTACCAGGGGCCTGGCCCACAACCCAGGCATGTGCCCTGACTGGGAATCTAACTGGCATCCTTTTGGATCCCAGGCCAGCCCTCGGTCCACAGAGCCACATCAGCCAGGGCATGATAGTACTTTTTAAGGTTGCCTAGAAAGTTGCTTATATACATGAAATACATCCTTGTATATAATAAAGCCTCCAAAAATATGTACAGTTTTTAGTGCCTGATTGAGATGGGGTGGAGAACTGTACAGCAAGTGCTTGTACTTTCTACAGTGGTGTTTTGAGGAAATTCTTGAACTATTTCTGTTCCCTGTTCCTCAGTGGAACAGAAGTAAGGGTTTTTAATTCAATAATTATTGGTCTAATCTGTTCAAAATGGGAGTGCCATTAAGCACAAAGGTATGTAGTGATGGGACTGAGGTCCATCCTGGAATGATTTATCTGGCGAACACATTTCCCTCTGTCCCAGACTGTCAAAGTGCCTTTGAAAACATTTTGAAATTATATGCTCCAGAGTCTGAGAGAACACCCTCCTTCATCCTCATTTTAGGGAAGTGTAGTCTCAGTCTCTTAATAAAAAGCTTTGTTGTCAATATTGAGCTATTTTCCACTGGGGGTTTCACATAAGTAATTAATTGTAGCTTTTCATATGAGCTGTTACGGTGTTTTTGCTTATTTTATGCAAACAGTTTATAGACAAGGATCAGCAGCCTTCTGGAAGTGAATGCAGAGATGATGATTTGGAAGCTGCCGTGAAGAAAGAAGTTGGTGACATTAAGGCATCTACAGAGATGAGGCTAAGAAGATTCCAGTCAATGGAGAGTGGAGCAAATAATGTAGTCTTCATCAGGACACTTGGGATAGGTGTGTCTGACTAATACACTTTAACATTATTGATCCTGTAATATCTGGACATTTCTCTATCACAAAGAACATTACCTACAAAATGGCTTCATGGTTATGGTTCAGTTTATTATTTGATAGCATCTTCACTACACTGTCTTACCAGTAGGCATACAGAGAGGTAGAATGGGGTGGTAGACATAACAATGACTTAGGAGTGGAAACTTGGTTTTGCTACTTTGTTTATATGCAACTTCAGTTAAAACAATTTCTGTCTAAAAGGAGAAGCTGCTAGTCAGCTCCAAGCTGACTTGGAATGGCTTCAGACTTTAGGGAATGTCCTGGTAGGGCTGACTTTTCTGATTTTTCAAAAGAAGTTGGAAATCTGTAGAAGTTTCTAGGTTTAAATGCAGTTAACTAATTTAAAAGTATTGAAAGCACTGCACAACCCCAGACAGATTTGCATGTTATCAGGATGTGGCCTAAGGACTATACAATAAACTTGTACACTCCATGATTTGGGGCTCCTGCAAATTCTTGTTTGTTTTTATTAAAAAACACATACTTTTGTTAGTTGCTATTTTTAAAGGAAAACAACAGTATGGTTTTATCATTGGCAAAATCAGACATCACAAAAATGTAACTCCACTGTCTTCATGAACAGTTGTTTTTTAGTGAAAGCAGTAATAAGCTGAATAGTTACAATATTAGATAGAGTATTAATATATATTAGGCATTGAAGAAATGTTAGTTGGAAAACATGGTTGGTTAGACTTATTTAAAATTCATTGTGATAATTTCTTCTACTCTATTGTCAACTTAGGTCACTGCCAATGAAAATTCATTTCAGAGAGGTTGGAGAAGCTTTAAATTGTTTGAGAACTTATACTCTCAACTAGTTTGTCCTGCCCTGTTTTGTTTGTTTGTTTGTTTGTTTGTTTTTAGAACCTGAGAAATTGGTGCATCATATTCTCCAGGATATGTACAAAACCAAGAAGAAGAAGACTCGGGCTATTCTGCGAATGTTACCGATCTCAGGCACATGCAAGGCTTTCTTAGAAGATATGAAAAAATATGCAGAAACTTTTTTGGAACCCTGGTTTAAAGCTCCGAATAAAGGGACATTTCAGATTGTATACAAAGCTCGAAATAACAGTCATGTGAATAGAGAAGAAGTTATCAAAGAATTGGCAGGTATGTTTCTCTTAGTGATTTTACATTGGTATCAGTAATAAATACTTGTTCTTATTTTTAAGAAACTTCCACACTTTTCCAAAGAGATTGCACTAGTCTGCATTCCCACCAAGAGTGCACTAGGGTTGCCTTTTCTCCATGTCCTCCCCAGCACTTGTTGTTTGTTAATTAATTAATTTATTAAATATTTTATTTATTTATTTTTAGACAGAGAGGAGAGAGGGGGAAGGAGAGAGAAAAACATCAATGTGTGGTTGCCTCTTACATGCCCCCTACTGGGGACATGGCCCACAACCCAGGCATGTGGGAATTGAACTGGTGACCATTTGGTTCACAGGCTGGTGGTCATTCCACTGAGCCACACCAGCCAGGTGTTTGTTGATTTATTGATGATAGGCATTCTGACAGGTGTGAGGTGGTATCTCATTGTGGCTGTGACTTTGCATTTCTCAGATGGTTAGTGACATTGAGCATCTTTTCATGTGGCTATTGGCCATCTGTATGTCCTTTTTGAAGAAATGTCTATTCAGGTCCTCTGCCCACTTTTTAATTGGATTGTTCATTTTTTTGGTATTGAGTTGTCTGAGTTCTTCATAAATTTTAGATATTAACTCCTTATCAGATGTGTCATTGGCAAATGTTTTCCCTTTTAGTAGGTTGCCTCTTCATTTTTTGATGGCTTCTCTTACTGTACAAAAGCTTTTTTAGTTTACTGTACCCCTATTTGTGTTTTTTTTCTTTTGTTTCCGTTGCCTGAGGAGACATACCAGAAAAAATGTTGCTAAGAGAAATGTCCAAGATTTTACTGCCTATGTTTTCTTCTAGTAGTTTTATGGTTTCAAGTCTTAAATTTAAGTCTTTAATCCAGTTTGAATTTATGCTTGTATATAGTATAAGAAGGTGGTCTTGTTTAACTTTTTTTGTATATATTTTGTCCAGTTTTCGCAGCAACATTCATTGAGTAGACAGACTGTCTTTGTCCCATTATACATTCTTGCTTTCTTTGTCATAGGCTAATTTGATCATATAGGTGTGGGTTCATTTCTGGGTTCTCTGGTTCCATTTATCTGTATGTCTGTTTTTATGCTTGTACCATGCTGTTTTGATTACTGTGGTCTTGTACTAATAGTGTAGTTTGATATCAGGTAGTGTGACACACCTCCCATTTTGTCCTTATTTCTCAAGATTTCTGTTGCTATTTGTGGACTTTTGTATTTCCATTCAAATTTTTGCATCATTTGTTCTAGTTCTGTGAAATATGCCATTGGTATTTTTATAGGAATTGTGTTAACTCTACAGATTGCTTTAAGTACTATGGACATTTTAATAATACTAATTCTTCCTATCCACAAGTATGGTGTATGCTTTATTTATTAGTATCTTCTTTGATTTCTTTCTTCAGTTCTTATAATTTTACTGAGTACATATCTTTTACCTCCTTGGTTTAATTTATTCCTGTGTATTGTTTTTAATGCAATTGTAAAAGGTAGCATTTTCTTAGTGTCTCTTTCTGGAAAGTTCTTCATTGGTATATAAAAATGCAGCTGATTTTTGGATGTTTATTTTATATCCAGCTACTTTACTGAATTTATTTATCAGTTCCAGTAGTTTTTTTGGTGGACTCTTGAGGGTTCTCTATACATAATATCTGCAAATAACAACAGTTTTACTTCTTCCTTTCCAATTTGGATGCCTTTTATTTTTTTCTTATCTGATTGCTATAGCTAGGACTTCTAGTACTATGTTGAATAAGAGTGGAGAAAGCCAACATCCCTGTCTTGTTTCTAATCTTATGGGAACCACTTAGTTTTTCTCCATTGAATATGTTGTTGGTTGTGGGTTTTTCATATATGGACTTTGTTATGTTGTGGTATATTCCCTCTATTTCCACTTTGCTGAGAGTTTTTATCATAAATGAGTACTGGATTTTGTCATGTGCTTGTTCTGCATTTATTGATATAAAGAATTGCCCCATGACCCAGCAATTCCACTTCTGGCAATATATCCAGAGAAACCTAAAATATTAATTAAAAGAATGTATGTATCACTATGTTCATTGTAGCATTTTTACTATAGACCAGATATGGAAGTAACCCAAGTGCCCATCAGTAGACAAGTATATAAAAAAGCTGTGGTATGTATATACCAGTGGAGTACTACTTGGCCATAAAAAGGAATGAAATGTTACCTTTTGTGACAGATAGCATGGATGGATCTAGAGCATATTATGCTAGGTGAAATAAGTCAAACAAGAGAAAGGCAATCTAACTTATATGTCAAAATAAAGAACAAAATAAACAAAATTGAAATAGGCTCATAGGTACAGAGAACAGATTGATGGAGGTGAGAGAATTTGGAGAACTAGGTGAAAAGATGAAGGCATTAAGAAATACAAATTGGTAGTTAAAGAACAGTCACAGAGATGTAAAGTACCACATAGGGAATGTGGTCAATAATATGGTAATAACTGTGAATGGGATCAGGTGAATACTTGAAATATTGGAGGGGACCACTCTGTAAAGTATGTGATTGTCTAACTACTATGCTGTACACCTGAAACTAATATGGAATAATATTGCACATAAACTAATTGAAAAATAAAATAGAATTTTTCTTTTACTTTAGTTTTAAATATAATTATCCTTTATTTTTTCACTGTGATAGTGTGATTTATTTTTTAATTTAACTTATTGGGATGACATTGGTTAATAAAATTATATTGATTTCAGGTGTACAATTCTGTAATACAGCATCTGAATATTGTATTGTGTGTTCACCACCCCAAGTCAAGTCTCCTTCTATCACTATTTATCCCCCCCTTTACCCTCTTCTGTGTCTACCCACTCCCTTTCTCTCTGCACTGTACTAAAATAAAATTTTTAAAAAGTTGTTTTTTAAAGGTGTAAGTCTTACATTTTTAAGTTAGAGCAAATATATTTGCGTTTTTAAAACATCATCAAACCTAACTGGTTTTAATATGTTGGGTATACGAGTTTTCTGGTAGTTAGATATTGTTTTCCAAATCAAGATGAAATTTTTATTTGAAAAAAAAGTACTGTTATTAAATGTCTTAGGATTTCGTTGTATTAATTTTCTGAGAGTTCAGGGTATTTGACTGAGGTCTGTGTAGAAGAGTGGACTTGTATTTGTTTTGGTTAACAAGTCCCAGACCAAAAGAGATGAAAAATTGGTTTATATCCATCAAACTTCAAGATATCCTTCTCAGCCTAGGTGTTTTCCTATTCTTTTTGTTACAGGAATAGTTGGAAGTCTCAATTCAGAAAACAAAGTGGATCTTACCAATCCACAGTACACAGTGGTAGTAGAAATCATTAAAGCTGTCTGTTGTCTGAGTGTTGTGAAAGATTACGTGTTGTTTAGAAAGTATAATCTCCAAGAGGTGGTGAAGAGTGCTAAGGACCCGCCACAACTTAACTCCAAGCAGACTGCACAAGCAGGAAATGGAAAAGAAGCTAAATTGGAAACTGGTGACAGATCAATTCAAAATGACCCAGCAGAAGAAAAAAATAACCAGAAGGTGGTACCAAAGAGTAGTGAGGAACTGGGGCAGACAAAACCAATATCTAAGGTATCAATGGCAAATGAGGGAGGAGCTAAACCTGAACTTGCAAGTCAAGTCACAGAAGCATCTGAGTCAAGTGAAAATGACCTCTCATAGGAAAAAAAAATTGTTTGGTGTTGGAGGTGAGTTTTTCAACTGGGATTCCGTGAACTGTTGGGTAAGGTTCCATATAAAATTGTTGCTGAAAATTTTGGTTTTGAACTTCTAGTTCTACATAACGCTGTGCTCACAGTGCTGAACAGTGACTGAACAGCCCTACTGACAGTTTTCTTAGGTTGTTTCAGCCCTGTCTGGCAGTGTACACTCAGCCCATGTGCATTTGGGTGAGCCAGTGGAAGCTGGATAATTGGGGAACACTCTTATATGTAGGGGAGTGTGGTAGGAGGATGACATTGGCCTCTTCCTCATGATAACTTTCTCTACCCTCCCTTGCACTGCCAACTCACTAAGGGGAGTAAACCAGCTCTGTAAAATATATAAACTTCGAGGAAATTTTCATTCTAATGAAGGAATTTTTGTGTATCTCAACTCAGTTGTCTCCTGCCACTTTATTGTAAACTGTGCAAAAACATGGGTCATGTAGGCTAAAAGTGAATTGTTTTGTGACATTTTAATACTTTTTGTGGTTTCTTGTTTAGCTGTTATACTCTTTGTTATATTTTATTAACATTTGTTGCAAACAAATATGGTGGTCCTGTGCTACAGTTTTTGAAGGCAAGTCTGACATAGAAGAGGACGATGGTAGGCATAGAATACAGACATTTCTGATGTGGTTAGTGATGAAGAATTACAGTCTTCTGAGTTACTTGAAGACATTGGTACAACAAGGGACAGAGAGAGATTCTTACTTTACAATGAAATCTACTTCTCAGTGGTTATATGGATTTATAATCCAGGCTGTCCTGTTCCATTGTATATTGTCTGTGGAATGCAACTTGTAAACCTAGCATTTGGTCCAGTGGTTGTAACTATAACTCATAGCCATTTGGTAAGTAAAGATGTTGATTATTTTAAATGCTTTTTGGAATTTCAAAACAGTAAAGCTTTTGTTAAAAATATTACAATTAATAAAATTTTAGAAAGCAAAATATTTAGTAGCAGAACTTACTCCACAAAATAAAATTTCTCATAGTTGGTAAGTATCTAACAATACCAACATTGAATGCTAGGACAAGAAGTTAAAAAGTTGAAAATACTTTACTCTAATTTAAGAAATTGATATACGTCATATGATGCTAAAAAGTTTTTTTTTGTCATTAACTGCAAAGAAGCAGCTTCTCTATCTGGGTTGAGAGTCAACAGATTTCATGAATATTTAATTTATTTTTTAACTTTTCGATAACAGTTGATATTCAATATTAGTTTTAGGCATACAGTATAGTGGTTAGACATATATATAATTTATGAATATTTGAAATGGTGTAGCATTTGCAAGATTTGTCAATGATGATGACATTCAAGAAAATTTTTCAGCTACTAGGAACCTCCAAAACAAAGACCAATATACATTTAATGGGTCTTTATATCTGAAAACTAAAGGTCTGTCATCTGTACTCTTAGTGGCCCATCAGTGGTTGGCCTCATGACCAGTTTTGCCTCATTTTAAAAGGAAATCCTAATGTTGATGCTTTAGTACACTGCTTTCTTCACAGAGAGGTGCTGATATAAAAAATGGATGAAATGAAAGTGTTAGATGATGCTACAGAAATGGTTATCTCTGTTACAGACAGACATTTATTCAAGAATTTTTTTAAAAATCCAAAAAATAAAACCTGAACAAACAGCATATATCACTTTTACATACAGACCCCAGTAGCTTATTAGAGGGGGATACTGGAGTTGAAAGGTGAATTACCAGAGTACTTACAAGAAAATACTGGGCCAGATTTTGCTGAATGCTATGAAGATGAAGAATGGCTATAGATACTAGTCTACTCAGCAGACATTTCTCATTACATGAATAAATGAACAAGTTCCTGAGAAAATGTTTTTTTTCTTAGAAGTGACAAAATTCTTAGATTAAAAAGAAATGAAGTTTGTAACAATCACCTTACCAAAAGAACTCTTGAAATGTTTCCACAGCCACTTGTTCCTGAGAATGAAGAAAGTAACAAGCCTCAAGCCATTAAAACTCTCCTTGAAGAAGTGCAACACCAAATTAAATAGCATTTCCTTTCTTTTCCTAACACTTGTGTATGACTGGGTGGGGTTGTAGGGGAGCCCAGTCACCTGGGTGATTTGATGTTTTGCCAAAATACTCTGCATGAGATATGATGCAGGAGTGGTCACACTGTCATGATGAAGCTGCCAGTCACCAGCTACCCATAGCTGTGGCTTTCTGATTTATCCGAATACTTTCTATGGAGGAATGTTCAAGCTTAATGCAAAACTTGATGCAGATTCGTTGCTCTGTTTGCTTGGTCATTTTGAATGTGACAGCCACAAAGAACACGTGCTCACTCAATGGTGTCTACCGCCTTCCTGACTAGTACAGTGAAGTCATCATTGTTTAGCATGTGCATTCCAGTTCACTGTCCTTAGCTGCTAGGTTACAATGGTGTCATGCAAACTATTCTCATAATAATGGCTGGACTTTATCTGGACAGACCTTGTACTTAGAATGTTAACTCTTAATAGGTTGGAGTCATCTTGAAAGGATGATAAGACCATTCTAAGTATCATTTTGGGGAACACAGAAGAGGATTTTGATGCCTTACACACTTGCTCCAAGTTAAAGATTACTTTTATTTCAATAGCACAAAACTCTGGGTCTCTGGAAGTAAAATGGGTTTAATGCACACAGAACATAACAGCTCTGTACAACTGGATTCCTTTTACTGTGAGAAAGCTGCCACTTTGGTGCAGTAGTTTGTTTTAATCCCTTTTTGTATTTATTTGTATTCTGTGAGACCTGAGTGTGATGAGCAGTGCTTTCTCAGCTATCAAGTGCTATATTTTGTTGGAATCTGAAATTATTCGGTGAAAGATTTGTTTTCAAGTTTACGAACTGTTTATTTTCAATGACATTTGAGCATGTTTTCTTATAAATGGTGAGTTTCCTGGTTAGAATTGAATGCTTTTGTTTTTCTTTTTCTTTTCAAAAATTTTGTCAGTTTTAAAAAGTCCACCTCAGTGTTTTGGTTCAGTAAACTTGTTTTACTCTATGGAGGGAAGAGTGTTAAACTTGCTACTTTGAAACATGTTTCTCGCCCTGACTGGCGTAGCTCAGTGGATTGAGCGTGGGCTGTGAACCAAAGTGTCACAGGTTCGATGCCCAGTCAGGGTACATGCCTGGGTTGCAGGCCATGACCCCCAGCAACTGCACACTGATGTTTCTCTTTCTATCTCCCTCCCCTCCCTCTCTAAAAATAAATAAATAAAATCTTAAAACCCATGTTTCTCTAAGGTTAAACATGATTTCTAAATGTTATTTTTACCTGTATTGTTTTTGGTATGGCAAAATATTGGGCTTCTTTTTAATAGTTCCTGATATTTTTAGAAAAAAATCAAAATAAATATTCCATAAAGATTGGTGTCCTGTACTTTTCTTTCTTTCTGTCTCTTAGTAAATCTCTTGCACTATAATAAGTAGATATATCTTAAAAGATGTTTCTATGCCAAATTATATATCAATAAAAGTTATTATATTGTACTAAATAGTAAAGATACAAAAAATTTATTAATTGCTCTTGAGTAATTACTTTTAATTCATCCAAGTTTCAGATATTTTATAGTGAATATACTTCAAAATGAGTTATAGTAATATAGTATTTAATTATATTTACTTACTGGTTTCTGAATTATATATATTTCTCATTTTAACATTAATATTTTAACCCATCTTAAAGAATTAGTAATAATAGCCCTGGCTGGTGTGGCTGAGTGGATTGTGTGCTGACCTATGAACCAAAAGGGTCACCAGTTCTATCCTCAGTCAGGGCACATGCCTGGGTTGCAGGCCAGGTCCCCAGTAAGGGGGTGCACGAGAGGCAACCACACATTGATATTTCTCTCCTCTTTCTCCCTTCCCCTCTGTCTAAAATTTAAAAAAATAAAATGTTTTAAAACATGAATTAGTAATATATAAACATGTTAAGCAGAATTCTGTCTTGAACATTTCTAGTAGAATACTTCTGATCTTTATTTTGAATTAAACAAGCACAAAACAAATTCATTGTCCACTGTTTTTACAAGCAATCATTTGACCCCTGCAATTTTAAACCCTACAAGACAATCATTGCCTTTGTCAGTTTAGTCATTATAACAATTATCTTCCCAAGTATTTTTATTATTTTTATTTTTATTTTTTTGACTAACTACAAAACGCAGTCAGTTGAGTTTTCAACCAGGAAAAATCTGAAACATTTTAAGAGTTGTCAGGAAACAGACTAAAAGAAAGTAACTCCGTAAGTTCTTCATGACTCAATTTCCTGTTAGGCTATGTTCTTCCCCATTCGTGATTTCTCAAAATGTTGCGTTTGATTTTCCCAGTGATTGTCTTTGGGAGGTTTTCAACAAATTCCACCTAATTAACAAAAACATATTATGAGACACTTGATTCATTTTTACTTATTCCACTGTCAGTACAATAGGAGAAAGTATTCATGAAACCCTGTCATTAGTTTTACTTAGAGTTATGGGGATTGTCTGAGCCTAAGCTGATTGAATTTGGGAGGCACCAGAAACTTGTTTGTAGAGTAAAGATGACAATGATGCTTCATTATGTTTTTTTTAAGTGACCATTCACTCATGCTTTTCTAAAAGAATGTAATCTTTTACTCCATTGCTTTCTCCCAGTTCAAACTAGACCTAGGCCTCTATTGCCCCAGGCAAATAGAAGCCACATCTAAATGCACAGAGTAATAGCTAATTCTAGGGTTTTGAGCTCTCTTTTAAAAGCTGAGTTCTGAAGGTCCTGCAGGAGTTTTAGAGGTAATTTTAAGTATACACTATTTTCTCCTTGTGCTTTGCTTTGACTTATACTCCCTCGAGATAAGACTTAACTATATTTTAGAATATCCTCACACTTTTCTGAAAATCAACTGGTCACTGAATGAATTTAGTGGAGAAAATGTAACTAGTTCATAGGTTGATATTGACTATCTGCTGAAATGATGCCAGTTGAAATGGTGTTTTCATCATTATCAACCAGTAGGATTCTAGGATTGCAAGGACATTACAGTGCCATTTCTGTGTGTAGAATTATTCTTAAATCCCTTTTTGAAGAATGTTCCAGGAAAGATAACACAGTTTGGATATTTTGTCCTGAGCCTTAAATTTGGTCACAGGAAACTTACAGGCCTGCACTTTGAAGTTATAAGCATATTATGGCCTAAGAGTACTATGGTAGATGAATCATGTACTGTCTTTAAAAACAGTTTGCCACCATTATTTTTCTCAGGTGGTCTGATTTAGTCCTGTGAGGCCTTTTAGTAGTTACTCAGTTTTGCAGAGTTGATCAAAACTTCTAGTTTATCAAGCATTTGTAATATCCTAATATAAAATATTTTAAATCAAAATTCTTATGGCTAAACAAGTTGAAATACATAATCTTCTGTATAGAATGAGCCACCCTAAATTCAAAAGCTAGTAAAATCTATATATTGTACTTACTAGCTTAGACCCTGGTTTGGTCACATACACTTATTTTTGGGCAAAATACTTGCCTTTCTTGGATATTTGTAAGGTGCAGTTGATTTTTTCACATGATTCTGAAGTTCAAGAGTTAATTTCTCTGGGTTGGATGATTTAAAGGGTGCAGATAAGACAACAAAAGCCTTTACTACCTATAAGAGAAGAGTGAACTTATATTAATACATTTGTTTTTAAGACACATCAAGAGTTGGGAACCAATGCTGAACACAGGTACTCATGATTTGTTAATAAATGATGAATGCAAATGACCAGTGATCATCTCTGAATCTCTGAACAAAACTTGGGTGGGTACAAGTGAGATTTTGAGATCTAATTGAAGATGGTGGCTAGTAAGTGTGAGGAGTATAGTGGTTCAATAAAGCTGAGGGTTGAGTTTTATTTATATGTTGCATATATATTTAACATTTCAGTCTGACTCATCCTTTTTATTACACAGGCTGTCCTTGGCTTGCAGATGAACACTTACTCCATCAAACTTGCACTGTTAGGAGCATGTAATAGGGTGACAAATGGAGGTGCTAGAGAATGTGTGGTTTGAAAGGGGCTTGGGGAGGCCTAAAGGAGGATTGTGTATGATGGGAGATGGAATCTCAGGAAAGATTGATGTACCTTTGAAAGGTCTTTCTTTTTTCTTTTTAATCTTCACCTAAGGATATGTTTATTGATTTGACAGAGAGAGAGAGAAGAGAAACATCTTGCCTGATATTTTTTGCTTCTCTTTGTAATGCTATTTAAAACCCATCAGTTAGATAATTCCTGAGGTTAGCAAGTATAGTTTAAATTATTCATATGTTGATTTTAATTTGTGTTTACTTTTGATGTTCAGCTGAAATCAGTTATATTGAAAAGATGGTGGCAGGAGAAAAATATTTTGGAGAATGGACTCTATTAAGCAGGGAAGTAGTACAGGATGTTTGAGTGTGGGATCCATGGGGTCACTGCAGAGGGTCACTGGTGCATGAGAGGAGGGGGAGAGAGATGTGGGAAGATACTGATAGGCAATTGTTTTTGAAAATTTTCCACTTGCTGAGTCTGTAGGGACTTCTATGAGGAAAGGGATCTTTTTCCCTCCATGCTATATAGCTTCCTCCTATAGCTAAAGTATTGCTCTCATTCCCCAAATTTCTTTCTTTTTTTTTTAAAGATAGTTTTTTAAATCTCAGTTTTCTTTTACACTATTTTTTAAAAGATTTTATTTATTTATTTTTAGAGAGGGAAGGGAGGGAGAAAGAGAGAGAGAGAGAAACATCAATGTGCAGTTGCTGGGGGCCCTGGCCTGCAACCCAGGCATGTGCCCGTACTGGGAATTGAACCTGCGACACTTTGGTTCGCAGCCTGCACTCAATCCACTGAGCTACGCCAGCCAGGGCTCATTCCCCAAATTTCATTTCATCAGTCCTGAGGAGGCTTGTGGGACTTGTTTGACAACATGGTCAGTCTCCTGTTTGCATTGTTTCTGTGAGAAAATGTATTCTTAGTTCATGACAATAGTACATACAGTAATACCTGCAGCTTTTGTTTATGCAGTATA